CTCCAAACTATAGAGACCCAGCTCCCTCAGTCTTTCCTCATAAGGGAGATGCTCCACTCCCTTAATCATCTCAGTTGCCCTGCGCTGGACTCTCTCCAGCAGGTCCCTGTCCTTCTTAAACTGAGGGGCCCAGAACTGGACACAATATTCCAGATGAGGTCTCACCAGGGCTGAGTAGAGGGGAAGGAGGACCTCTCTCGACCTACTAACCACCCCCTTCTAATACACCCCAGGATGCCATTGGCCTTCTTGGCCACGAGGGCACAGTGTCGGCTTATGGTCATCCTGTCGTCCACTAGGACCCCCAGGTCCCTCTCCCCTACACTGCTCTCTAACAGGTCATTCCCCAACCTATACTGGAACCTGGGGTTGTTCCTGCCCAGATGCAGGACTCTACACTTTCCCTTGTTATATTTCATCAATATATTAATAGAACATTGCTGTGCCAGGTTCACCCTATTAGATAACCCGTTATTGGTTCACTTGGTTGATACTACAATACAGTACCTGAAAACTACATGGCCCCAGTTACTCAGGCAACTTCTTTGGGTTATGCTGTTCTTTATCAACATGTTAAAGTCCCCAATTCACAAACAAATTATCTTTATGGTAGTTTGAAATTAGCATGCAGAAGACACAACAGGAGTGACAAAGGGAAGACACTACAGAGAAAGCGTACAAGTTCCCATCTCCCCACTTTTTCCAACCGCCAGCCTCACTACTGTAATTCAGATGACTGCAGACAAATGCAAACTGAAGCTTCTGAAGAGGCATACTTGGAGCTGAAGAATTGAAACTAGATGACAAAAAGGGGCCATAAAAAAATTGCAGATATAAATTAATAATCAAATATATGCACACAACAAGGAGACAGATGGCAAGCAATTTTCCCCAGTGTATTTATACTTGTTCTTCTAGTGCACGTATCTGGGTCACTTGCTAGATTAAATCTCATGTGGCAGACCCAACAGAAGTACTGTTGAATGCATATGGGCTCAGCCTGTTTTTTAAATGATGCAAGTCTGACACTACAGGGTGAAGGCATTTATTAGGATTTCTTAAACACAACTTGCAATATTACTCTATAACTTAGAAACAAGTCTGCTGGAGATTTCCTACAATCAGCAAGGCTGCCCCATTCAGGCCTGCTAAATAAAATGCAGCACAAGCTAGAGAAAGTTGAACAGTGCTAGCAAATCTCAGGGAACAGTCCTTACAGAGATTAGACAAATACATATATATCTTCCAGAGCACCAATTTCATCAGTGTGCCACAGAGAAAATACATCACTCAAGGTTAAAGATTCCTACTAATTCTCTCCTTAAAATACGCCTTGCTTCTGCCATTTGGGAAAAGAAAGGCACACCTCAATGGATTAGTTGCTTTTGACATATTCTCTGTAGCAACACATGACCTCAGATACACAGAGCACTAAATCTTCCACGCCCTAGCTACAAACTGGCAGTGACCCGTCTTATTTTGCACAGGTCACATGAAGGACTACAACTTCAGTGCATGGCACCCACAGGTCAGATTGCCTACTTTTGGGGGGGATATTAAGTGGCAGGGAAAAATAATTACGCAGATGTGTAAGCCTAATTGAAGCAATGGGTTTCCCTCCTGTAATGCTGGTAGGTATTAGCATAAACACAAAATGCATGTGCAGAGATTAGCCCCCCTTAATCTGGGAAAAAGCTGTATTTAATGCAGTGCAACAAGGAAAATCTTCAATATATCCACAGGAATGCAAACTCCATTTCCCCCTACACCCTGTTATCAGTTCCAAGATGATTTTACTCGGCGATAAATAAACCTTTATTAACAAGCCATGTGAGCTCTCTGCAACATTAAAGCAACATCTAAATATTCCCCCCCATCCCCTTTCCACATTCATCTCTTCTTTTGGATTACTGCATCCAGCTTCAAATAAAACAAATAAGCAAAAATAGGGAATAAATATATTTATTGTTCCTAGATGAATGAGGAGGATATGAGTTGGGGGGGGGGGAATTTCCACCTAATAATCCTCACATGTATCAAGGAAATACCACAGCTGTCTGAGAATTACAGTAGCAAGGAACAGGGTGGCAAAATCTTGTGTTTTCTAGGTCTAGAGAAAAAGAAAATCAACATAATAAAGCAGCATTTCTTCTTTACACTGGCTGTTCAGTTTAGAGGCTGTCACTTTTATTCAAAGTAATCAATAAGTCAATTGATCAAAGAGATCACATGTTTGCACTGATTATGTGCATGCCATGTATCTGTCTGGCCTGAAACAAGTAAGGCAGGCTAATGATGAAAAGTAAGAATGTATACATTTTCTTATTCAACTTCCTCAGGCTTTAAATTCATTCAATTTCAGTTTAATTGGGTGAAGGGTGGGAAATATAATATTGAATCCTTTGATATAGAGTCATAAAGCCATGGCTACAAGCAAGTTTGTTATATCATTGTCCATACAGTCCTTGGTCCAGTGCCATGCTGCTGCTAAAATATTAAGTTTTACCACTGGGAAATTGATTTTGTTATAAGAAGTTTTTATGATGCCACTTAATCTTACCCAACCTACACAAAAAAAAAATACAGAAAGCAATTACAGACATCCCTTATATAGTAAGCTTGATCACTATATTAAAAAAAAAAAAGAACAGTCTGATGTAATTTCAATATAATGGCAAAGGAAGCAGGAAAAGCTATGGCAATGTGCTGCCCTCCTGAACCAAAACATTGAAGGTTCCTAGCTTCAATGCACAATCTTGATTCACTTAAAGTTAGTACCATGATCCATCTCCTACATGGAGGGCTGTGTCCTACAGCTCCAGCATCAACCTCCTTTTCTAGTGTTATATTTCAAGCCAGCTTCTGCAGGGCAGTGAGATTCTGTGATTACAGTTGAAAGAACACTTTGGGTCTGAGAGTCTGCCTCTTTGAATAGATAACCCTTTCTAGTTCAACAATTACTAGCATGCAACAGCCATTTCTGCTTTGCCCCTTCCAGTGCTGTAGTTGAAAAACATCCTAATTAGATGACCCTGCGCACAGAAGTGCCATTAACTGGCTTTCAGAGCACTCCAGTTAATGCTTAAATCTTAGCTGCGATGGCAAGTACTTTATTTAGTTAGGAGGTAAACACATAAAGCAGTATTTTAGAACACCTCTTATAGTCTGGGATAAGTACTAGCGAAGACAGTGCATGGTTCTTTTCCACCCTTCCCGAGATGACACTCAGATATCACTGGGTTTTTACCTGCACTGGAGCACACTCAGGTGAGATCAAGATTAACCTTGACCTTCACATCAATAACACCAAGTAGTTCGAACTGGCCTGCAGCACAGGCTTTTATAAGCATGTCCTTAAACAACCCAGTTTTGCCTAAATATTGCAACATAAGGCTACTTAGGGTTATGTAAATATTCCACAACTCCTGCAGCTCTTAACTACAACGAGCATTTAAAATAGTGTCAGTGAGTCAAAATATTCACTACCGGCTATTGATCCCACTCAGACCTTGCATTTCAGGACAATGGCAGATACTTTTACTGTTTGTGAATGAAGCTTTGAAATGCTAAAATAGGTTTAAGAAAAATCATTGTAGATAATTGGAAGACTCACAAAAACCTCAAAACACTTAACTGCACAAGTCTTCGAGCGCATGCAAATGACCTGAAGCCTGAATCGCAACATTCTGCAGCCGACACTGTTCCCAGCCGGAGACCTAGAGCACGACTAACACTTTGCATTTACTTCCAGCATTAATAGGTTTAATAGTAGCAACCCTCGAAAACAAAGGGGGTTGGAGGGTGACGGCATTCTGGAAGCTGTGACAGATCCTTAAACACGGCAGGTGCACCGTAATACAGTTTAAGGAAGGAAAATTCCAAGTTTAGTAACTAATTGACTCCAGGACAGGCAGGTTATTTCCCAAGGCAAATGCCTAATCAAAGACATAACTGACCCTTTAGCATCCCACCAGCGCGCCGGGAAGTTCAGCTCATCCAGCAACATTTTTCCGCTCAGACGCATCCTTGACAACCCCCCAAGTTCCCTACCTTCCCCCCTTCCCCGTGCTTCCTCGCGTTCCTCCTCTCACAACCGAGGCTCCAAGGCACGAACCCCGCTTGACAGCAGCTCGGGGAGTTAGCCGGCACTGCAAACAGGAGCGGCGAAGCTGGGCCCCGTCACAGTTCACATGCAGAGGGACTCAAGCACTCCCCCCCGCGATACCCCCGCCCCGCAAGCGGCGGGACGGCCGGTTGCCGCCACCGGGGAGGATCCGAGCCGGGGTGTCTCGGCAGCCGGTGAAGCTACCCGGCAGCCAGCTCTCTCTCTACCAAGGAGGGGGGAGGCTGGTGAAAAGCTGTCAAAGTCAATCGGCGCTCACTTTTGGATGGGTTAATTCCAACGGAGCATGAATCACTCCAGGACGGTTAATAAGTTTAGTCAGGCACCCTGCTCTCCCTAATACATTTTAATTATGCATCTGTTTTAATTGTGATAAGATTAAGTCACCGGAAAAGGCACAGATCGGACCCTTCCCAGACTGCTGCTGAATGCAGGTACACCCAGGAAAGGAGCAGGTAGGAAACCCACCCCAGCCCAGTCCGGCTGCTCCCCTGCCCACCGGTGTAGGGGCTCCGGTCCTCGCGGCCGTCCGGAGGAGCCCGACTGCGAACAGCAACTTCCAGCTTAGGGCTCGGTCCCGGCGGGGCGGGTGCCGGGAGGCGGCCGAGCTCCCCGGTGCCACCGCTCGCGTGGGAGCAGCCCGGGACACGCTAAGTTAAAGCAGCCGGTCCCGTCCCACTGGGAAGGAAGGGCTGGAGAAAATGAGCCCGCGAGGGAGCTGTCACAACCCCGGCGCCGCCGCGGCCACCCGGAGCCGAGGAACGGCCGCAACCCTCCGGCATCGCCTTCGGTGCCCCGGGTGGCGCGGCTGCCGCCCCGCTCCCGGCAGGTGGGCAGCCCCCAATCACCCGCCCGGCCCCGCCGCTCCCCGCCCTACCTGTCATCGTAGCAGAAGTCGGCGCCCAGGGTGTTGAGGTACAGGGCGAGCCCCAGGGCGCTGCTCAACAACTCCGCGATCATCTCTCCGCCTGCCGCCGCCGCCGCCGCGCTCGCACCGGGGCAGCCCCCCTGCCCGGCCTCCCGCGCCAGTCCCGCCGCGGCTGTCCCTTGCTCCGCCAGCACCGCGGGGAGCCACTCCACCGGCGGCAGCAGCCTGACGGCGTCTCCCCGCGCCTCCGCCGCCCCCTACCCCATGGCAGCGTGGCGAGCAGGGGACAGAGCGCACCGAGGCTGGGCTAAGCGCGGCTGGGCTCAGCGGAGTGCAGCGCAGCGGCAGCTGCCGCCCTTCTCCCGCGGCACCTCGGCAGTACCGCTGCTCCGGCTCCCGCCTGCCCCAGCCCGCACCCCCTCACCACCGAGCCGGGCGCCGCCGCCGAGGCTCTGGGAGCGCCCGCGTGGGGCGCCCGGAGCTCCCACCGCGCCTGCGTGCGGGCCCGCCCTGGGCCCGCCCCTCCGCCCAGGCCCGCCTGCCGGCCCGCCCCGCGCCTTCTGCAGCGCTGGGCCCGTACCCACTCCCGCACCTTCACTCGCACGCACTGACAGGGCAGCGGTATGGGCAGGGGCGGTGGCATAGCCTGGTGCGTGCGCTGCATGGGGCTTGCCCCGCTGCTGCCGCTAGCTTGGCACAGGCCTGTTCTTCAAGGGGTTTTTTCTTTCTTCACTTTCTCCATTTTCCTTTTTCCTTAAAAAAAAAAAAAAAAATAAAATCTCCTTTCTTTCCAGTTTCTTTCTCTTTTTTTATTTCAGTTTTTCTTCCTTTTCACTTTCTTTTTTTTTCCTTTTCCTGGAAACTCGTTAGGAGGAAAGAGAGGGCCGGTTACTGGGTCCGGAATGCCAAAGCAGTGGCCCCATGCTCTCCCTTGCCCTGAGCCTGGTACTTCTCTCACTGTCTGTGTGGACATCCGTGGGGAGCTCTTAGCTCAGCTTCCAGTTAAGCAAAACCACAGAAACTTGGCAGGGGGGTGGCTGAAAACAAACACACTCCAGGGCAAGGAGCGCTGCAGACTGGCTCCCTCAGGGCAGCCCCACAACGGCGGGGGGGGGGGGCAGCCTATGTGTGGTGCTGTGAGTAGGACAATAAATGGCCTTGGCAAGCAACCCAGCTATAGGAAATAAGGCACTGAAAGCATCTTCAGTAATTCATGGGATACCAAGGCATGAAGTTATGGAAAGGGTTTGGGTCCATCAAGCTGATTGTTTCCTTTTTTAAGAGAGTTTTATAAATGTTGCCTCCATTTACTGCTAGCCAGCTCTTCATATAACTGTTTCCTCATGATTTCCATCAAGTGGTACACCATGCTGTCGCAGAAGAATGGGAGTCTGTGCATCAAGCTGTGTCTAATAAATTGAGGAGCTTTTAACAAGCTTTCTTTCTCCCCTATGTGATTATTTAATGCTGTTCTTTGCAACCTCAAAATATATTAAGTGCATTAAGACCTCTTTCAAGCAATGCTTAAAGTGCTCATGTGAAGTCTGCCCCAAGTGTCACAAATGTCTCAGCTGCTTTTACTTAGATTCAGGAGGGGTGTTATCACCATCAGTGGCAGTAATTGCAGACATGGGGGAAGGGTGTGTTTTGTTCAGAATATTAAAGCTTTGAGGGGCCTTATTGAACCCATTAGCGGATCACATTGATCTGGCATTAAAATTTCCAGCCTGAAGCGCGGAACACAGTAACCTAGATTTCAGAGGGTTGGTACACTTTGTCAGAAGAACTTACTTTTGAACACCAATTCTCAATGTGTTTCTGGACCTACTGCCAAGATCCCAATCATCATGACTTAGTCCTTCTTGCTGCAGAGGGATTGCTGAGGTTACAGCACTAGGTTTGCACAGCTCCTTGCTTGAAACATCCTAATAAACGCTGCATAAATAGCAGTAGAATTACTGCTGAGTCACGGTGGCAGAAGTGTCATCTTCTACATAAAAAGCATATGGGTTTTTTCTTCAAAGGGGCATGATTACTGGCTGGGGGGAGATGAGGGCTGGCAGAAAAGCCTTTAGAAGCAAAACAAATCCGCCAGTTTAACAAAGCCTGATGCTGGTTAATAAAACCAAATGCCAAAAAAAGGAAGGATGAAATGTGGAGAGCACCTAATCCCCTGGACATCCCCAGTGCTCCAGGGTGGCTGGAAGTAGCGTTAGTGCTCCACCAGCCTGTCCAAGTGGATTTAGATGCACTCAGAAGAGTCCACAAAGTTTGCATCTTACAGAAATGTTTCTCTGCATATAACCTAAGGATAAGTGTTAACCCAACAGTGAGAGCTTTCTCTGATTGAGAAAACCTGCTTTGTAGAAAGCTATAGATGGCAATGTGTGCATGTACCACCCCACCTGTCAGATCTGGGACCCCACATACCAGGCCAAGCTGGGGGCAGCAGGTGAAAAGAGCTGACATAGAAAGCTGGAGACAGGTTCAACATAAAAATTATTGTCCTTGTCAAGCAAACAGCACCTCAGGAAAAAATTAGAAGGTAAAAAAAATCAAAGCATGATAGAGAAATTCCTTCTCTTCCTCAGCTAATTAAAAGTAATAATGAACAACATTATACCTCACCATTTCATCCGGAGATATCAGATAACATTCTGAGTCATAGAAGATTTACAGTGTGATGTATTGTAATCACAAGGTATCAAAAAAGATAATTTAGAAGTTCAGATGTGTCACTAAGCAGACAGTTCCAAAATAACCTTCATTGCCAGAAAGTCATTGTCACAGACTCTGGTATCAAGGAAAAGGGAAGAGGTGGAGGGTTGTAACAACACATAATAATAACAGTAATTGTAACAATAACTAGCATCATGCAGTCATAACAGCTGATCTGCTGTGTATAGCTTAGTAAACAAATTCATATGCTATATTGCAAATATGGCAATCAAAAGCAATCTGTTTTAATACCAGTCTGGAAATTTCTTCATTAAAGACGTTATAGACTCTGAGTCGCTGTGCTACAATATACTTCACCTAAACTGTGTCTGAAAGATTAAGTTGTGGCACAGCATGCAAAAATACATGTCTGTCACAGTGACAGATTTGGTTAACTGGTCACTGACTATGAGACCTTAAATGTCAGGGTAATGCATGTGGTGCAGATACCTCAACAGATTAGATTAGACACTTCAATTTCTATACACTGGGTTCATTTTCTGGAGCTTGTAGAAAATATTTGTGCCAACTTCCTCGAAATATCTGAGAAGAGAAAAGCTGACCCTCTAAAAGCTGCTGGATTTTTTTATTAAAATCAGGTATCTGGGTATTAAATGTTACTATAGGAATAATCAAATGGGATTTATATTTTTTTGCCAGTGCTTATGCTCATATACCATCAAATAAATATCATAACACAATGTGCATAATTTTGAACAACCTAAATTACATCCAAAGATGTGGATGAGCCTCTGAAATATAAACTTTGGCATCATTTCAAAACACCCATACTGTTGCTGTTCTGAGCAGTCAAGTATAATCTGGTGTTATCTAACAAGGAAATCGAGTTAGTTGAACATGAACCAGTGACCTCACTTTATCAGAAGTGGAGAAAGTGGGAAGAAAAGAATGTTTTGGCCAAGTGCCTTGTTCAGAATTACTCACTGATTCGTAGAGGTAAAGTTGTTTGATTTTGTGCACAAACATCCAAGCTGTTGTTTTCCCATCATGCTGTCAAGATCATATTAATTCTCAGAGACCAGTATTTCTGCTTTCTCTAAGAAATTGCTCTTTGTTTTTCTTTTGCTAGTGCTATGATAATAATAACATCAGCAATGAGAGACAAAGTAAAAATAAGGTGCAACTGCAACAGTGAAATCTCATGGAAATGCATAAAATAGGTCAATAACAACTACCCACATGCAGAAAAACCAAGCACACACAGGGCTCAGTACTTGGAAGAGATTTTAGCTGAACACATTTTCTAAGGAAGTACATTTCCAGGAGGCACCAGTTCCTAGTTTAGATCAGTCAGTGGAGCTAGAGTATTGCTGCAGAGCTGGAGAGAGAGAGGGAAGGAGGAAAAAAAAGAAAAAGTACATTTTAGTTTGACCTTATTTAATTATGAAATACTGGAGACTCTCTTTAGGAGGAAGAAACGTAAGAGCAAGAGTATCTGTGCAACTCACAGGTGAGCATATCTCAAGGAAGGTGATTGCTCCAAGTGGCTGTGATTAAAAAAGAAAACACATTTTATGGAAAAATTTAGGACTAGAACCTAAATCCATGGAGGGACTTCAACATCTCATTCTTCAGAAAATTCTTCTATTCCTTAGAGGAAGATGCCAGTGTAGTTTTTGTGTTCAGTTAACATCAGACAACCTGAAGTTTCAAAGTATCTGATTCTATACAGTTAAAAGTCCCTATGCAACTAGATTGTCACTTGATGTTTTCAGAACCACCCAAAAAAGACACTGTTGCGTCGCATAAAGCTTTAGCATATCCTGAAGCTATGTCATAATTACCAAAACAAGCCTTTTCTTGCCTCTCAGTGCCTATGGGACCTGAGACAGGAGTGTGCAAAACAATACATAGATGATTCTCTTTCAACTGGAGCCTGAACCAAGGACTCAGGAGACACAGAATACCTTTGCCTAATCTGGAGAATGGATTTGAGCTGCAATGTCATAACTCTGAAGTTACTGCACCAACATCAGGCAGTCTGATAGAATACTTTCACATCCAAATTATTCTGTTTAAATACAATATTCATTTATTCATTGTATGCAAGAGTAATTGCTCCTACACTGGCAATTAGGACATAGTGTATGTGCAATCTGGAATCAGATGACTGCTCCAAATCAGGAAGGAAAAAGCAGATTGTGAACCCAAACAGCTCTGGTAAAGAGCTTTAAAATATAAGGCATTTGTAATGAGGGCTAAGGAAGCTCCCTCCCAAGTGATTATTTTTATGAAAACAAACTAATTTATATAGTCATCTGACTCCAAAATATGTTCACTGATAAAAATTGTAAGGAAAAGGGGGTAGCTCCTTGCAGCCAAATTCCTGAATAAGAGCTAACATATATTTCCACTATTTTTTGCAAAGTTATTGGTTTATTGTCCTGTTATAGTCAAGAAGAAAATGTTCAGATAAGGTTCTGCTCCCCTGTGATTTAAAAAACCCTCCAGATATTAAATGGGAAAACTGGGATTTTTTTGTTTTAGCACTCCAGCTGTCTCCACAGTAGACTTGCTCTCTCCTGTCAATTCCATCTTCAGATTCCTG